GAAATGAAGAAATCAATTGATAAATTACCGGAGCTGACCCAATTTTTTAATAATTCAAATTCTGCATCTAGATCCGCCTCTATCAGTTCTACCAATATATCCAACAATATGCCTAAAGTTGTAGGACAGAGACAGCGAGAAACCGACTATTTAAGTGTTAAAGAAAAAACAATGAGAATTACTGAAATGAATACAGTAACTGATGGAGGTTATGGTTGTTTCAAATTTTTTTCCTGAAAGTACAGATCCGCGGTTGTGTCCTTCATATATCGGCAAGAATTTATAGTCATACTGGTTGTTGTCAGTTTGTTCCAGCACACATAATAGTTTTGTAAAACCAGCAGGTATATACAACGAATGAAATGATAAAACGAAAACAAGATACCTTTTTTGTGATGTTGTTCAAGAAAGAGTTACGTAATGGGAGGCTGTAGACCGCGAATGGCTAATATATTCTCAGTCACAAGGAAAAATATACTGTTTCGTATTTAAATTATTTCATCTACCAATTCTACATTCAACACTAGCGGATTCAATGACCGTAAGCATGCAAATATGCCTACTTCACACTATAAAAACTTACCTGAACACAGAAAGTGTATGATAAGCTACCACAGTCGCTTACAGTTACCTAGTCCTAGATAGCCAACTTATAGATAGCCAACTTATAGATAGCCAACTTATCATACAGTTCAATGATGAACGGCATTTCTGGAAAGAAGCGCTGAAGAGAATAGAATAGTGGTGTTATAAAGTTTTAGCATCAAAAGGAATCCTTTCAGATGGAAAAGTGAAAGTATTGGTTGTGAAAAACGAAAATTGAACTGAAATTGTTTTGGTACTTTGGAACTTCTAATAAGTTTGATCCATTTTTGTATGAACATGTCAAATATTACGGCAATTCTAGAAAAGGTAATCTCTCTTATCACCCTGCTACAACTTGTGAGGAATTCATAGAAGACATGGCGTCAAATATCTTGGCAACTATTGTTCCTGAAGTACAAAAAGCTAAGGATTATTCTGTCTCTGTTGATTCTAATCCAAATGTCACTCATACCGGCCAACTACGAGCTCTAATTGAGAGATTTTTGCAGTTTATTCATATTGGGTGTACAAATAAATTTTGAGGGATTTACATAAAATGGCGTTACTAGTACTAATTCCTAGCGGACAATCTTGTAACTATATTCATGTTAAAGCGCCATTTCCATCTAAAAGCCAGTGTTTCATTTCGCTGAAGTGTATCTAACAAACTTTCTTTGTACTCAACTACCCATGTCTACCTTTCTACCAACAAAATAAAATTTGCGGGAAGCGCTCCTTTCTTGTTTTAATTTGAAGAAACCTGCAGCTGATGGGCATCGATTGCTGTGTGAAGCATATGGGGAACATGCTAAAAACATGCGAGTACCGGTTACGGCGCTTTAAAAGTGGCGATGTTGACGCCAGCGGCAAAGAACGCGAGGCCACTAAAGTTTGAAGACGTTGAGTTGGAGGGCTTATTGGACCAAGATTCATGCCCCATCACTGGGGAACGTTACAAACAACAGTTGATACAACTGAGCTGAGCACTGAAGCTCAAACGCCCTCCAGTATGCCAAAAGACATGATAAAGTGGTCTTTCAGCACGACAAATGGTCGCCCACATGCTGCAACAGCCGTTAAGGAAACTTTGGAGGCGCTTCAATGGGATGTTCTACCCCATCCGGCATGTTCACCAGACATTGCTCCTTCCGACTTCCACTTATTCTGATCGATAATTCATGACTAAGCCGAGCAGCACTTTACTTCATATGAAGAAGCCAAAAATTGAGTCGGTTCTTGGATCGCTGCCTGAAAGATGCGAACAGTCGTAGCTAACGATGGAGACAGTACTTTGAATAAAATACATTCTTTCAATTTCTCTGAAGAAAGCTTCAAAGCTACAAAAAATTACTCAAAATTTATTTGTACACCCAATATTTATGGACATACTTCAGAGTATCTAACGGATGCTGTGGTTTCATTTTTGGGAAATAACATTTCACTCGGTGATTCTATCAGTCAGTCATACAACAATGCCTCGATGGAAAATATTCGGGATTGCAAGATCGACTTCAAGAAACAAAATAAATACGCTGTATGCATACCATGTTCAGGACATTCTTTTAACTTTCTTAGCGTTCAAGCAGTAGAATATAACTCTAATATAATGATTTACTTCGATTTTGTCCAAATTCTTTACAGTTTTTTCTCGTTGTCAACCCATCGTTGGGATATATTGACTTGAATTCTGATAAAAATAAAAATGTATTGAAAATCTTATGAAAAACACGTTGGACTTCATGCGCAAATGCAATTTACGCGAAGGGTATACAGAAATTGTCATGAGCCTTGATTGTTTTTGTTGATGTATCTCAGGGCAACAGATACTCGGCTGTCTGCAAAAAACTTGAAAACAATATATGCATGAATTGGTAGCTTTTTTTCCCCAATGGCAGATTGTGAACATTTACAGTGTAACACAGTCCATTAATCTATAAAGGCCAGATGTTATGGTCTCTTTATTATGGAGGCACCTAATAGGTGGGCCACTATCGCCTCCTATGAAGTTACAAACAGTTACACCATGCCATCCCCGGGATTCGAACCCAGGCTTTCGGTATCGCAGTCAGGCTTCCCTAACCACTATACCGACTGGACGGCATGAATTGGAAACTAATTTTTAAACTATCTTTTGGAGTGGCATTTTTACTGGTATTGACAAAAAGAATTTATTCGTCGAGAGTTAAAATAGGGATTTGTCGAAAGCAGTGAAACTGTTAAAATCTTTAATGACGTATATAAAAATCAAAAGAGGATCTTCATTTTTTAACTTTCTACAAACCAGGGAAAAACCAGGGAAAAAAGGGAATATCCTTTATAAAAGAGCATCAAAGTGTTAACAAACGTGCAAGACAGCCAGTGCTAAGGTATCTTTCCTTAAAGGTAATAAAGACACAGACGTAACTTTTGAAGGCAACTGCAGCCAGAAATTTAAAGTGGAAACTTTTTTTACCTATAATCGACTGTCTAATTTGCAACTTATAAAAACTCAGCAAAACATACGAGGAGGTATTTAAACTATTTGGGTATTTTGAAAATATTTGTTGTTTGGGTTAGAGCGAAATTAAAATAGCATGCGAGAAAATATCGAACTTTTATGATAAAGATGTTCGTGGGGAGATGGCGAAAAAGCGAAGAGAAAGAGAAAAGATTCATAAGAAATATAATTTTATAAATGCGGATGGCGATTAAGAACAGTTGTTGGATGAAGTTAGGATTGGTATCAACACACTCTGTACTTATATTTATTATGAAAGACTATGTTCCCAAATATTGAAATAGTAATGAGAATTTTCTCGTCGATGATGATTACAAAGCAAACGTTCATTTTCAAAACTCAAACTTGTCAAAAATGAATTGATAAATTTTATGACTCGATCTCATTTGAATAATTTGCATTTAATGAGTATTGAAAATGAAATATTATTAATAGTTGATTCTGAAGAGATAATTAATGATTTTGCGAATTAAATATGCAGAAAACTGCTTCTCTAGTAAAACTTCATTCTATTATGGATTGCTTTTATTATAGCTTACATTCAAAGAAATAAATAGGATGCAGGTGGGGGCCTACTTTTGCATAGGAGCCCAGGGTCTCTATATGACTGTTGCCATAGTCAATTATAGAATCGACTAACTTTCTGAAAGATGCGTATTTTTCTGTAATATGCTACTATTCCTCAGGAAAACATTAAAAAGACATTGAATGTTTTTGCCTGCTAAAATGCGTATTTTGATATCAAAACTGTCAGTTCTTTCCCATTACAGATTGTTGCGCAGCTTTCTAATTAAATTTTGGTTACAATAATTCCAAATAATATAAGTAATAAGAAAAATATATGTACGATTGGCGAATCATGCTTCAAGTAACTCAGATCGTTAATGTACGGTGTCAAACATTCTTCTTTCAAAGTTCACTTTATGTTATTCTTTGAGTAATCTCCCAGAAAATCACGAAAAAGATTAGAAACTAATAAGCATTTTCTTTCATTGTAGTAATAGGGATGAGAAATTTTATAAGTTTACCCTACAATTTAATCATTAAATCGAAGAAGGTAACTATATACAGATAACTCTAACCATTTTGATTTGAAAGTGTTTGTTCAGGACCGTTGTCTGAGTGGTTATAAAATGGAAAATTTTGAATAGAAACATATTTCTAAACGCATTTATGTATATCTCTAATTGAAGGAAATTGAAGAACTTATTAGGCATGCTGGTTAATACAGTACAAGCTTTCACCTCCTCCCAAAACAATAACTGAAGATCATAGTGATTTTTAATTCATATGGTTTGTGTTGATTTCAAGATAATCTTTAATAGATTAAAGTTCTTGCAATTATTATTGCATAAAAATCAATAGTTACAGGGATATTAATGTAAGAAAGTTTTATGGCACACATAAAAGATCTAAACACTTCAGATGCAAATATTTTGGTATATGGGATACACGTAACGATAAAGAATTGTAATGTTTAGCTGATTTCATGCATCTCATTACTTTTATATTGCTCTCGTATATATTTAGAAATATACATGCAATTAAATATGTGCATACCTGTGTGAAAGTCCTCCACGAAGGCATCTCTTCTCTTAGGCAGATAGCCTAATTTGCTTTGCCATAATCAAATAAACCAGACCAAAACTATCATCATGGAAGCTATAAATGGTGAGAGAGTTGGTTTCGCTATGTAACCGTCATATAGTACACTATATTAGCACTACATTAATATTTTTGGCTTCTTCCTGAATTTCAGATCTCCTCAGAGAAAAGCTAGAGAGTTGATCTTCACAGAGTCCTCTTGAAGCCCTTGCCCGATAGAGACCAAAATCGACCTTTCTAAATGATTCAAACAGTATGAAAGAAGTTTTGTATACAGCTTACTTAATATTTTACTTTTTTCACTTCCAGATACAAATCTAATGTGGATACCAAGATGACTCTACTCAAGTTCACCGACCTTCGCCACAAACCAATCGGCATGATAAAGTAAGTAATTTCAATGTTAGACCTTTTTGCATGATATTATATCATCTTGTTGTGACTAAATTCAGCTTCGGTTAGAAACACGTGAATATTCAATGTAGTGATCGATATTTTATGCAGGCATATTTCTGGATTGCTTAATTAATCAATATATACCCCCCCCCAAAAAAAAAGTCTTTAACCGGTCTTTATTTTCGCAGCCGCTCTTCGAAATTGACTTAACAAAAATGTTTCTTTTGAATGATGCAATGATTCTTGTTTTCGCATTTTGTGAAACAATACATCATCTAGCTTTTTACATATTTTTCCGGTTCCTATACCTGCAATTAGAAAATTTTTGTTGTCGTTATAAAAAACTGAACACAAAAAAATTGGCATCCCTAAGAACAAAATTTGATCGAAATATTCTGTATTAGATATAACAATAGATCGCTCACATATTGAAGAACGAAATGTTCGAATTTGTACGTAACTAAAAATAAATTATCTTTAACAAAAACGTTTCTGATGTTAAAGGGATTACTTGACGGGCATTTCTAAGCAGATTATTGTGAAAATTATTGATCTGTCGATCCATATCTCTCTCTCTCTCTCTATATATATATATATATATGAGTATATATATATACATTTCAAAAACAATACACGTACAGTTAAAACGTCGAAGATACTTATTTACAGAGTAAACACTCTTAATTTTTACAAAAATTGTGCTTGCAAACTAAAGAGGCAATCAGCAATGAAATATGAGAAAACAGTTAATACCAAGTCGAATATTGCATAATTTGCAAGTAGTTGTTGGTTTTTCCTTCCATGTTTTCAACTGGCATCTTCTCTGGCGCCCCTCCTCGGTACTTTTTATCAATAGGTGTTCACTGTCGTGGTGGACGAGTTCTTTATTATTTTGCAGTGAACGGCGTTGCTTGATGTTGTTCCTAGATGTGGCCTCATCTAAATAAGTTTTGGTAATGGATATTCAAATTTTAAAATTTCCTGCTCTTCCTCAAGTTAAAAGAGTTTGGAATGTAATTTGCTGCGATGAAAGCTGTTTCAAGAAAAGCACTTCAAGAAAAGTAGCCAGTAAAACATTTCCCTTGGATGAAAGTAAAATAAACTTTTACGTGGATGTCAAACAGATCCACCCCATTTTTGTATTTGTTGTGTGAAGTTACAAAAAATGGAACGTCAGTTTCCTTCCTCTTACTTTCATCCTGCGGTTCACTTTGTTTTTCATTTTTGTTTATCTGAAATTGGTCAGCAAAGGCACTACACTATTGTCACTCCATCGTACTGCAGTTATTTTGTTTGCTTCATCAAACAATTCATCAGAAGAGCTTCTGTCCATTTTATCCAATGTTTTCGAAGGCACAAGTGAAAATTTTTCATTTGATTATCTCGTAGAGTTCCAATTGTGCAAAATTCTTTTCCTTTCAAACGAACAAGTAACCCATGAGATGTGAAAACGTTGTCCGTGTATATCTATGAAATTTTGCTTTCTCCACTATCGAAAGCAAGCTTTTTACCTCGCGCTGAGAAAGAGGTTCCTTACGTTTTTCTTGAGCCCTTTAAAAAGGAATAATATTGAAGGGATTTCCATCGTGAGATGTCTCATCTATAATTTGAATCTGAATTTTACGGGTGTATTCTTCATGCACATCTTACAATCATGCATACCAAAATAAACCACCATTCTTTCGTCGATTGTTAGGTTTCCTGAAAACACTCCAAACTGTTTCAAGGCAGTATTCAATTTTTCTTGCAGTGGTCGAATTTTGTAGTAACTGTCATCTGTATTGATTTCAGAGTTGTCACTCAAATGAACACAACGTTTGATATCGCAATCATCTTCTGGACATAATCTGACTCATTGAAGTTGTACCAGTGTCGGGGGCATTTTCCCAATCCAATTTTTCACGTAGTAAAATGTGATATCCGCTGTAAAACAAGACATCTAGAAATAGCTTGAATTCACTTTCAGTGACACTAAAAGAATTATCATTTGCTTGTTTTGCATACCGGTAGTCTCTGTAACTATATGTGATATCATGTCTCTCCAGCCGTCGTGCGAAAAAGTTAATCTGAAGTTTTTCCTGAAACCACATTTATAATATTTTCATGGTCTTGAAAAGGAATACAGCTTGGTGAAAGCATTAACTAGAGTTAAAATTTTCCCCCTTAGAATCTTTTAGTTCAAAATTAGGTTCTTCAGTTTCTGTAGTTTTTTCTTTTTTGTAGTTCCTGTGGCACACTGAGCTAATATGTTTACAGTTTGTGACAATATGTTAACATTGTGCCGATATGTTTATAGTTTGTGACAAAATTATCTATCTTTTCTTCATCACTAATTGAATCAGGTTAGAGGGATTGATAACCATTTCAGGCTCATAAATTTTTTATCAGAGCGATAATTCATATGTTCAAGAGCCTCTTGGGCTGTTAGAATTTTTTTTTTTTTCTATTTTACAAATATTGGTCTTTCAAAGCTAATTAAAGTTTTCGGTCAAATAATAAACAGTGAAGTAGCTGATCTACTTTAGGAAAAAAACACGAAGGATTATTTCTTCCAAAAGAACAAGCGCATGTGCAGTTCTATAGAAAGTTTTCATCTGATGTCGCAGCTTTGAATGCCCACAAGGGGGAAACACTAAAATCAAAGGTCAAAAGAAACTTTCCAGACTAATTTATATTTAGAATATTTATCTGTTTTATACTAAAGTAATTCCTATTTCTCTTTTTGCCAAGGACACTGGCAAAAGTGGAAATAGATGAACTTTCTTTTACTCCGAAAGCCCTGTTTAGGAGGTTGTGTGACATTTTACTTTTGTAAAATCATACAAAAGAAACCCACAGAAAATTTCAAAATAATCTACTTCCTAATCCTTCTATATGCCAGTCTAATGTCATTGTATGAATAATTATTATTCAAAATTGGTTTGAAAAAAATGGGATCTGTGAATGGGGGAGGGAGATGAGAGAGAAAAATTTGGGGATCGGACTGTTGTCCTGTTTACAGGACACCTATAAAATACAAATAAAATACTTGAAAAAGATAATTTCCTTAATGGATATTTCTATTTCTAAAAATAGTATCAAAACTCTACTAGAAGAAGTCTACACATCTTTATGGAAAAAATATGGATTTTAATCCTAAAGAACAGTTAAAATATAAATCATTTTAAAGGGTCATTTTTTAAATGAAATTAATTATGGCAGGCCATTTTTTAACCTTTATATGAAACTTAGTCCATTTCAAGGGAGTTATGCAAACGTTTATCTACTTGCTTACTTTTTTCATTTTAATGAAACTTAATTGGGCCATCCTGTATGTAGGATAGTGTTCCAATATGGGTTAAGCACACAAAACAAAATCGATCTTTATTTTTCTAATTTATTTAATAACCGATCCCTTAACGAAAAGGAGAACGACTTCTAATTTTGATGGTAAATACTTCTAACTTTTTATCTTATGAGTTTTTTTTTTTTTTTTTGTGTGTGTGTGTGTGTGTGTGTGTGTGTGTAATGAATAAAACATTTTCCTAAATGTAAGTATAGGGACCGAGAAACGTGTCAAAAGTTAACTTTCGTTTCTATAAAATATTAATTTTTTTAAATTTAAAAATCAAAAACACGAATCTTTGCTGAATTAAAACACTTTTTTCTAACTGAAAGTCGAGTAGATGCTCATTTAGTATTCGATTGCAAACATGCAAGTATTAACGAAAAGTGATGAAATAGGTTTCTCGTTGATTGCTTTTTAAATAACAGTGTCGTATTTGCATTCCCTCAATCGAATTTGTGAACTTGCGCATTCCTACTTTCTTCTATCGATTAAGTATTACACGCATCTACGTTTTGTTATTCAACATTACAATGTCGATGCCATTTACACCGCCATTGGAAATCAATACGAAACTAATAAAAAGTCGGTAAATATATTAAAGGCAACTAGAATTAATCTTTTTTTAGTAAATTTCCTGTTTCTCTTTTGTTTACCTTTAACATACAGTGTTTGTTGTAGTCATCATTAATCGGTCTTCTCTGCTGATTGGTGCGGTTCAGTTGTTCATCAATGGACAACTTAATCGTTAAACAGAAGTACCATCTTCAACAGCGTCATTTCTGCGGCAATGAAATTTTATTTAATATAGTTAGCTAAAGTTCAATATTTACATAATGCAGTCCTCAACCACATTCACTTAAATAATTCAACCAAATCAATAACATCCAGTATTCAATCCCATCCAGTGATTCTTTTATGATCCCTTACCACAGGGTATTATTGCATTTTGATTTACCTATTTTGAAAATCACATAGTTGGCCATAAAAACAGTGAAACTCCAAATAGTTCTGCTCTACTTGTCCATTTACGTATATGCCATATAGGATTTACTACTGCATTATTTGTGCAGTTGTCTGTAAAAATTGTCTACTTACGTGTTATAATTGGAAGCAAGTCAAGTTAGCGATTTTCAGGTCCAGAGTTCGAATTCCATCGCTTATATTCTCTTATTTTCTACTCCGAAGTATACCTAATGACTCTACAAATTGTTCGGAAATGAAAGAACCGCTATACATTTGTATTCCGAAATGTTCCACAACAGACGCATGCTTAATGAATCAAACGTTTGCAGTGCTGATTTTAGTGAATGTGTAAAAGTGAATCATCGAAAAAATAATTGGGTTTGCGATTGATAATATGGGAATCATGGAAGGAATAGCAGGATTATACCCAGGCTCATCGAAAAACACAGAAAGCATCGAAGAAAACAATAAGATTATCGTTGTTAACGATGGACGATTTTAAAAGGATTGTTGGAAACCATGATGCAACGGAAAAAAAAAGCAGTATTGTGGTTGGTAACGTAGAACCATCATGGAAAAATTGGTGGGAACCTTTAAAGGTTAGAGGATAATCGAAGAAACTAGCAGGATCATGGTTATTAACACTGGGCAATAATGGGAAGATCGTTGGTAACCAAAGGACGGAGGATCATCGAAGAAAACAGCAGGATGGATGAAATTGGCCCGTCCTGCGTCACTAACCATAATCCTACTATTTTCTTCAATGATCCTCTACCCTTCCATGGTAACCAATAATCGATGATAACGCAGGATAGTTGCTGGTACATAGGAAGAAGCTTTTTTCGGCAATTTGTTTGTAATCCATGTATAAATACGTTAAAGTAATGATATTGCTGTTTGTCTATTCAGTGAGTAATAGATAATACACGGGATAATTTTCTTCCCCATCAGTAATCGAATGAAGAAGATCGCTGCATATCGATACATCGACGCTGGTTGAAATTCCTGCGTATCTATGTTTTTCCACATGCGTAACGGTATTTTTTGCGAGAAAATCCTTTACGAAGGCATATTTTCTTCGTAGGCAGATAACCCTCGGATGTTTTGCTCTATTAGAGTAAAATAGCCAAATACTACATCTACTATCTAAATACATACAGTGGCAACATTTCGTTTAAATCTTCGAGTCTTATGTTTTTACACATAGATAGTATATATGAGCAGTGGCAGCATTTCTTTTAAATCTTCGAGCCTTGCGTGCAGTGTTCCAATCAATGGAAACAAGAAATTCCAGACAGCCTATGAGATTAATACGACCCGTTGGCTATCTACTCGTGAAATCTTAAATAGATCCGTGAACTAATATTTGTAAAATCGTGTGATAAAGTCGCAGAGCAGACTCCTTGATAAAAAAATATTGCTTCAGATGATGATATAGGAATTTTCTCACGACTATCTGTCTGAATGATGACAAAACGCCTCGGCAATCTTCTTAGCTAAATAAATATTAGCAGTCGTTTACCTAGTTATCGGACATTCGAAGTTACACCTGGTTATTTTCGCTTAAAGGAGTGCAGTTTTCATATTTATCAAAGACAAATTACGCCTGCTGTTACATATTCGTAGAAATATTATCAATGAAGTAAATACACCCGGGGAAATTGCATAAGTTCTGTTACCAATAATCTACTGCGTGTTTCCATACTAAGTGGTTTTGATATGCAACAAGACTCTTTTTCAACTAGACGCTTTACGGCCAACAGCTTAAAATAGTTGCTGTGAAAAATGGAAAAATATATGTATATATAATTTTAATAAATCAATTTTATCTAGTTTCATGAATCCAGCTAGTTATTAATGATAACTGAAACCAGTCTGCGTTTATTGCTTTTAAATTGTTCAGTTTGTTCATAGCAACATTTCTTTTAAATCTTCGAGTCTTACGCTTTACGTTAATCTTCAAGTCTTTCTTTTTGTTTTATAAGAATAACAACACAAAGCTTTAATATCGTTAAGTTCTTTACTCCAAGTTCTTAAAAAATTTTCTTCTAAAGTTCCTTAAAAAATGCGAAATAAATATAAAGCAAATTCAAAGTTCGAGCATCGAGGTGTCCATATTCAGGAGGAGGACTATGTGTCTTCAAAATTAGGTGGCTCTAGGTGCCACAATTTTTGCTCAATGTGAGGAATATACGTAATATGAAGACCGGAGAAAAGATTGAAAAAAATAATGGCAACACTTAAAAACTATTGTAGTTTTTTGGAACTGTATTGGGAATTCTAAACACGTTCTGCTTTTAAAACTTTTTTGTGGCATAAGTGATGATGTTTGATAATAAAATAAAAAGGACAAAAACGTTTTATAGGTCATCTTGTGAGGAAAACTTAACGTTATTATGATGACCTGAGAAAATATTTCAAAAAACCGAAAAATGTAAATGTTGGTAAATATATTACCTCATGATCGTTCTCATAATGCAAATTGAACAAGATGTCAGAAATGGCAAATATTTTAATTAAATATTAGACACTTAGCATATTTTATACACTTACTTAATATACCTAAATATTAGACACTTAAAATATTTAAATTAAATATTAGACATTTAGAAAATTTTATGGGGAATTCTGAAAATAAGCTGTTTTTAAATATTTTGTAATTCTGCTGTGAATTTTACGACGCACAAATACAGAAAAAGTAGTGTTTAACTTTAAAAAAAAAAATGAAAAAGACGAAAAGAAGTTGCATTAGTAGGAGTAAGACCAAGAGCAGATTGATAGCAAGCTGCGAGCTCAGCATGAGCATAAAAAACCATAACAAACGTTCTGATGCTACGCTAAAATCTGAAGCTTTTCGGATTTCTTAAAATGATCTTCGATGACCTTGATACTTTCTCAGTACCAAAGTAGTGTGTTGCCACTCGAAAAAAGTAAGGTACGTATTTAACATAAATCGAGAAAACGTGAGGAAGAAATTTAATGAGAAACTTAGCTATTTAAAAGAAATGTGCTCACCGCTTCCCGAAATAAAATATTTTTATCTTTCAAGCGCTGATGCTTTGCTGTTTGGGAAAGCTTTAAGTTATTTAACTTTTGCTTTCAGATTTAATCTGTATGTTTTTAATGAACAAACTAAGCGATTTAAAAACAATAAATGAATTTTTCGTTCTGCAATTATTTATGAGCTGGACCCATGAAATGACGCTATTGGGATCATTAAATTCATTATATACCGTATCCATAAAAGACCTTATCCGATCATTATTTTCGCAATCGTTGGCTGTAGATATGTAATTCCAGACACAAATATGTTTGAAATGACACAGATTCATGTTACGGCATTTTGACATTTAAAGAAGTCAATTTTGTAAAACGTATGAAATTTAACTTTTTATACGTTCTTTTATTCCGTATATTTATGAAAATTTTTGTATCCTCATAAAAAAATAAAACATAAAAAGTGTGATTCTTGTACGACAGAAATTAACCGAGATATTTAATTTAAATACTTGCCATTTCTGACGTCGTGTTCAATTTGCATTATGAGATCGATTGGTAAATAAATTTAAAAAAAATTGGAGGTAGATTTTTCCCCTTTAAATGCCATTCGATGATGTTCTTTTTTGATTTTATAGTGCATTTAATTTATAATTTTGTTACACATGCTATTCCAGCAGAGTTTTCACACAAGTTATTTATCAGATTTCTAAAAATACGTTATTAATATTCTCATGAACTTGTATTACTTTTGAGTCGTAATCTGGCAGTCATACAAGAAATTCATTAAACTACATATATTTTTCATTAATACAAATAGAATTACGAGTTATGATAGCGCTAGATGACGTGAAATAGCATGGCTGCCATATTATCATAAGTAATTTGTGTATGGAGGAATTCCATTCTAGCTTATTGAATATGATAGGGCTAGATAACATGAAATACCACGGTTGCGATGAGCAATTAATTTGTGTACAAAGAAATCTCATACTTGCCTATTGAATATGATGGGGCTAGATGATATGACATTCCAACGGTTGCCGTGTTGCTATAGTTGATTTACAACCCAAAGAATCACACTCTACTGTATTAAATATGGCAGGTCTAGTTGATGAAATTCTACGTTTGACGACGTGCTGCTTGCTAGAAGTAATTGATTTGTAAACAAAGAAATGACATTCTAGCATATTGAACATGGTAGGGCTAGATGACATGAGAATGCACTGTTGCCATAGAAAGAAAAAATTACAGTAAATAATGTAACAGTTCCCAACAAAATTAATAAAAAAATACTGTGTAACAGTTCCCAACGAAAATATCGTGGCATGTTTCTCTTGAAAGAGAAATCAGATTCAAGGTTTTGAGTAAAGAACAAGCTCAGATCGAACCCTAAGTTCGAGCTCCATAGAGAACAGAAGTCTTATTTTATTTTGATGATTTAAACTATTACTCTTTTATTTCTTTCTTTGCATGTCTAACATTCTTACCTAACATTAGTTTCTGAGATTCCTTTTTCTGCTTGTAGTTGGTTTGCTGTCCACTGCACGAGTATGAATAACACCAACTATCTCATCAGCAGCGACAACAAGGGTTACGCTTCAATGCTATTCGAACAGCGGATGAACAAAAAAATGCCTCTTGGTAAAGTAAGTACACTATAATCTGTCTACCATTCGTTGAAGGCGGATTATTCTTCCGAAAGAAACCGTAGCATGTATTCTACTGTTCACTCCGATCGATGCTTCACTTCAAAGGTTTCTTTCTCTGTGTTTGAAAACAATTGATAACACTATTATCAAGTTCTTTCAGTTAACACACTGAACAGAGAATACCCGTGGTCTTGCGACGTAATGAGTTGAAATCGCAGTTGTAATTTTTAGACGCCTAAAGAAAATATATAATGAATTTAACGAGTCCAGCTATCGTAATTTGATAAAAATATTTAATATTTCCAATTATACTTCACACGATTTAAATGAGTCTGATTAAAAAGCCAGCGACAACATATTTTTTTTTTAAATAGTGGGTTTGTTGATTAAAATAGAAAGATAAATATCAGATATTTAATTATAATATCCACGTATTTTAGTTATTATAACAAAATAAAAGAAGCTTATTAAAACTCTTCAGCTTCAGTTTAATTTCAAATCGCACAATATTTTTAATTTTAGAATTTCAGTCAAAATTCTACATAAAATAACACAGAACTGCATTTCAATTTTTTTTTTTTTTTTTTTTTTTTTTTTTTTTTTAACTTAATGGGTAAATTTTAGCATTTTTTTCAGTGCTGATTTCAAACACGGAATCCGAATTTCTGTATTATGACAGGAATTTATGCAAATTTAGAACTTTTATATTTTCACAAATACTTTACCTTACATTAATGAATTTGTTTTAGTGACACAAGTTTTAAATAAACTGCACAATAGCAAAAATATGTTTACTATGTTTTATAAAGTACCATGTGGTTATAATTAAACTTCCCTATAAACGGCATCCTACAGCGCAAGCGGGTGAGCGGAATGCAACGAAATTTTGTATATGGGATGTATTTTGTACAAGAAGTGCGCTCACGGAATTTCGAAAAAAAAAAATTTTAGTTCCGAAATGTCCACCAGAGATCAACTTTTCGGAAAAAACAGGAGATTTAACACAATAAACGACCAAAACTGAGTACAGAAACAATATTACAATTTAGAACAAGCCTTATTAGTAATAAAACGCAAAATCGGGAAAAGCTGTCAGTTGTAAGAGAAAAATGTCGAGGTTTGCATGCTTGGAAGAGGAAGTTTTATGCTAAACAGGTTAGGTTATAAAACGTTTGCAGACGTTGTATTGTTTAAGTCGATGTTTCGGCTGTACTAACGACTGTCTCTTTAGTTGAATGTGCGTTATTGAAGCTGTTTTAGGATAACAAGGGGAATGCTTCTGCTGCAGTTCATGAATTTCGTAGTAGAAGAAACCTACGGCGTGGACCAATGTCTACTAAAGGTATTCGGGCCATGATTAAGAGATTAACGAGACTAGAAAATTAGGAGTTCAACCTGGAAGAGGCCGTAAACATATCGCACCGGTACTTGTTGACGCCATCAAGACAGCTGTTGACGCACAGTCACACACATCAGAGTTTTGGGGCGGTAGCGCGCGTGCAGTTTCACGGCATACAGGCTATTCCTACAGCATCGTCCGAAAAGTATTCAGAAACATAATGCACTACTTCCCATACAAGATCCGCCATACCCAGGAGCTGCTTGATAGGGACAACTCACAACGTCTCTCAATCGCAGTTCGTTTTCTCAACAGAATGACTGTTGGTCTGTCATGGTCTTGAAATATTCTGTGGATCGACGAGGCTCATTTATACCTCAATGGGACCATCAATACACAGAATTGCCGCATTTGGGCTATGGAAAATCCGCGCATCCACACTGAAATTTCTCTTTTGTTGATGACATTTTATTCTTCAGATGATGTGGAGGTAAAGGCGTTTATGCCTAAGAACTCCGTAACACGAACTTCGTTGATCCTTGATCATACCTGGAAAGGCGTGTTATTGGTCCAGGATTCCGCCTTGTACGCTCTGTATAACAAATGCCAAACAGGCCTTAAGTAACTCGAAGACGAGAAGTCTAACGGGACTGTTTATTCGTGTTTACGCTTTCGAATTACTTTAAACTCATGCTGTATGCTTCTGTGTGTGGAAGAATTAATTCATTTTACTTTATTTCCCATTTATTTCACAACGTCTTTTTGTTTGATAATTCAACCTACCTATTGGTGTTATAAAAGTTCCTCTCTTCGTACACATTCTTCAAAATCAGATTTTGTCCTCAATTTTATTATTCTTAATTACATTATTATATTTGCGAGCAAGGGTGGATGGCATCATGTCTGTGGTGGATTCTCGGCGACATTCATCCTTGGGCCATTCTTCTTTGAGGAAATCGGTGAACGTGGGCCTGTTAGATGTTCCGTTACGGGCCATCGGTACCATGACATGCTGCAGACGATTGTTGTGCCGCAACTACAGCAAAGCCAGGTCCTTACATCGACCATTTTCATTCAGGATGGTGCGCCCCAGATATCAATGGGTCTTTGAAGGCGCGAGTGCTTAGTCACTCCTTTCCTAATCCATGGCCACCACTTTCACCGGATCTAACTTCATGAGAAATGTTGAATGACTTAATGAACTCCATAACGCTTCATGTGCGTAGCCTCATAACTGATCAATTACGATCTGCTACTGCCCATCGACTTGAAATTTTGCAGGTGAATGAGGGTGATCACGTAGAGCACCTTTTCCTACATCGTCCTGGACACGATTAACAACTGCTCCTCTTGTGAAATTTCGTCCTAATCTGTTCTTGTTTCTGCAAACTGAACTGTTTTTGTATCTCTCTTCCTTTACTTAATGTGGTTCGATGACAAGGTGGTCAGAAATTAGTTAATAAATGTTATTATTGTTTCCGTATTCCGTTTTGGTCGTTTATTGTGTTAAATTTCCTGTTTTCCCGAAAAGGCGCCCTCTGGTGGACATTTTGGAACTAATTTTTTTTTTTTTTTTTTTTTCCAAATTCCGTGAGTATTGAAATCATAAGATAGCCCATATACAAAATTTCGTTGCATTCCGTTCACTCGTTCGCGCTGTAGGATGTCGTTTATAGGGGAAGTTTAATTATAACCACCCGGTTAGAAATTAATTTATAAATAAATTAATAGATTTGGTTATATTATATAAAGCATATAATTGAATGAAAATAACATAAATCTCTACTTTTATATATTGCTCTTTTTATTTATTTATCACCACTGAGCAGGCTTCTGACCTAAGGTGTATACCAAACAGAACAGTACTTGCTCAGCGGGGAGATCAAGTACAATCCAGCAACCGCTACCACCAGGGTAGGGCTGTATTTTTTTTTTAACAGAGATTACATATAGTAGCAGTATTTCATAAACAAAGACAACTTGCATTCATATGCTACATATAATTCAGAGTTATAAGTTGGTACTTAGTATAATAAAAACAAAGTTGCTGATTAAATTTTACAAATACTTAATACAATAAGCAAAAAATAAAATAAAAATAGAAACAAAAAAATATAAAGGAAGGAAGAAAGAATATAAATAAAATGAAAATAAATAAATGAATATAATTATACCATGATTACTTAGGTAGTTGAGGAGTATGAATATCGCTATCGAATGACTCAGCCATTGGGAGTATTTCTGCTGATAGAACTGTGGGCCTGAAGATCTTATCTGTGGCGATTTCAAAAACTGTCCCATAGGTATCAATTCTTTTTGTGAAAAATTGCAGGCAGGAATCTTGCTTGGCAGTTGCAATTTTTTCGCTTAAAAGCGGCTTGTAAGTTTTTATAGTTAACAAATGGGTCAAGACGGGTAGCAGGGTCAGTTGTTGCTCGTGCTTGTCTTCTGAGCTTAAGAGACATTGCTCTTATACAATGTATATTATAAAATTAGCTAGCTAAGCATTAGCTTTCAGGGCAAGAATTTTTGCCTGCTTCTTCACTAGGTACATCTCTTTTCAACATCCAGCAATTAGTCTGCCATCATATTTTTATTTCATCTTTCCTTGGTACCGTATTTCCATGTCTTTCATATCGTAATGAAATCGTTCACCTATTTCTTCACTATCTTTTCCTAGATTCTTTGGAAAATAATCTTTGTAAAAAATGTAATTTAATATTTTTAATATTTCATGTTGCATCTGAGCAATCTTAATTTATGCATTTTTAACAAAATCTGTGACATTTTGTCCTTGTTTTACTGGTGCATAGTTTCCACGGATATAACAGAATATATTGGCATCATTAACACACATTTACGGAAAGCAATACTTCATAAAATACTAATTAAAAGCACTGAAAATAACTACTTAAAACTTAGCAAATCATTAATTTAAGGCTAGGAAAAAATAACATTTTAGAAATGTCACGTGATTAACCTATTCTAAATAAAGTTGTGCCATTTATTAGAAAGAAAATTAACCGCAAATGCATATTTTCCATATAAATCATGCAATAAAAAACCTTACGTGATAGAGAAAAAAATATTTGTTTCTGAAATCAGCATCAAAAATATTTCTAGAAACAATGCAAAATATAGAAACATCAAAAACCACGCTGACCAGTATAATTTAGATCGAATTTTAAAGAAAAAATGAAATCTCTATTCTTAAAAAAATCTTATTTACTCGTAAATGGCAATTTTACAAGCAAGTTCTATCCAAACTGAAATTGTTCAGAATAAAGTAAAGAGGGTGTTTGCACATTTTTAGAATGATTTCAATAAAAAATATAAATGAATAAATAAATAAAAAGCAAATGTTTTGAAATAAAAATTTCTGGCGATATCTTATTTGAAATCAGAAATGTGGTCTGCTATTTTTAAATTGGTTCTTCTTTCGAAATGTCGCATGCAAACAACCTGTGGATTGAATGATATGTTTCTGCGCTTTTCGAAGAGAAATATTTTTGTTCCATGATTCGAAAAGGCTGTTAAAATTTCTAAATGCAAAATGAGCAATATTTTAAATTGGAAAAAGGAAAATCGCCAATCAATTGCTTCTGCATGTGAACAAGACTCCAAACCAATATACGAGACTATGTCTCGTGTGGTACTATGTCCCGCTTCTAATATTTCAAAAGTTAGATCGTTGTTAACGAGAGAAAAATCCGAAACCAAGTTTTACAGCTTATAAAAAAGCATAATATTCGCCAGCTTTTGCCGTGACATGTGGCTGAATTAACAACAGTGTGTAGAATCTTGTATGAAAACTGTTTAGCGGGAGACAAACTGAAATACATCGTGATCCTCGACGAAGCATAGATTTACCTAAACGACTGCAATAAAAAAATATCCATCTATTGTCAAACACAAAGGGGAAAAAATGTACAAATCTGGTTCCGTTATGGCAAAGAAAGTTTCAATAAGGGGTTTGATTGTCGCAAAGATCCTTTTACAATAACAAATTAAAAATACTAAGAGTGAGGTTAGGTTTAGTCGTTTACGGTAAAGCACACTAGGGCTATCTGTCTAAGGGAAGTGGTGCTTTTTAAGGGAATCTGGCTCGTATGCAGGTTACGCATAGGGAAAACCACGCAAACGTCCATGCAGCCTGAAAACGCCTATGCAACCCAAACGTCTGGAATCGAACCCAGGTTGGAATTACCAATATTCAGCAGTTTTACAGCTCGGCTGCTGGTGGACTACGAAAAGGCAGAACAAATGTCTAAATTAATTCCATGTACTATTAATAGAACGTTTTACGTCTGATACTTGCAGAATTGCGCTCTGGAAAGTAGTGGAAGAAGAATGGAAATCAATAACCCTATAAATATGACTATCGGGAAAATCAACACGCAAACGTATCGTCAAGTAAAATGGCTATCGGTTTGAACATTTAAAAAAGTGCTTTTTGCATTTTTAAGCGTTAATAAAACGACCTTGAAAGTGTTCTAAAAATGTGTAAACACCCCTACGTATGCTCTCTTTGACTTCTTTAAAGTTGAAATAATTAAGAGAAGGATACTTAATTTTTTGAAGGACAGGTGCTTATAAAAATTAAACTATTTTCTTTAACAAGTAAAATCAATTTTAATCCAAACAAAACACGAGTAATAATTTAATTTGGCGTAAAGAGAAAGAAAATAACCATGTTTGGAAAATAAATTCAAAACAATATTGAAATATTGTTTCGTGCATGCGTTTTCGTAAAGAATTCAATGCACATAGGACCGATGAAAGCTTGATAAAATTTTATTTTACTAAAAGAAAGACTTTACAGTTCTAAATCTTTCCACAAAAATACTCGTGCAGCTTTTCTCAATATGACGGAGCACAATCAGTAGTTATCACTTCAAACTACTAAAGACAACACAATGAGCATTCAAAGAGCGAAGCTCGCACGATCTCTCAATACTGTGAAGTCAGTTCTGAACTAAAAACAAAGAGCTGATGCTCTCTGCGGTTTTATAAAGTTTTCTCTTGGCCGCCAAGCATATATAGGTATCAGTTACAGTTATTCAGTTACAGTACCAATTAGAGTCATAAGGACAGAACCAAAATGTCTTGGCGACAGAAATTAGTTTCCAAAACCGTTGCTAGCTTGGCGAGATAGCCATTTACTTCAATATTAAATAGACTTACTCCTGTAATCTTATTTTTCCGGCAGAGCTCCGATCTCTTCATACTTTCTAGGTTACATTATACTAAAGATACTATAATTTCACATATCATTTCACTAAAATTATATGTATACAAAATTCGTAACAACATAAATTACAAGAAGAATGAAACGTTAAAAAACTCGACCTTGAAACTAACATTTTTCAGTTTATTCCCTTTAGTGAAATAAATGCGTAACAAGTTAAAACGCGAATTATGCAGCTCTTGAATTTTTAAGCATTTTATATTTCTTCCTCTTCTTTCACTTTTTTTGTTGAATTAGCTGCTTGCGAGGCCATCAGCTTAAAATATCTATGGTTTTAATGAATCCAGCTAATGGAATTTCAAAGAACCAACTAGTTACTGAAAATAACTTAAATGAGTCTGCATTTCTTAATTAAAAATAGAATTTTAAAGAAAAATTGAATACTATCTTAAGCTTAAACCCCTAAGATTGTAGATTCAATCAATTCGAAATATTCGTATATAGCGTTTCGCGGAGTTGCAACACACTTCTTTTATATCGCTGAATTCCGTGATTAAATTTGAAACGAAAATATTATAACGCTTTGCCAAATTGCAAGACAAAGTTTTGATATCGCTGAATTTAATTAAATGTTCCTTAAATCCGTGCAAAATAGGAAACAAAATTTAAAAATTCATACGTTTGAGATACACACAAGAAACGACAATTTCGAAGGAGGAGGAAATGTTCAAAACTGAGTGACTCTAGCATAGCTGCCAGTTCTCCCGGTTTTTCATTACATCTCCGGATTTCCCAGTAGATCACTCGATCTCCCGGTTTTTAATTTTTTAGCCTTTACTAAGGAAAATGTTTCCAAGCAGTAAATGAAATTTGCAGCAGTAAACTTAAATTAGGCAGATTCCATTTTCTGACCTCTGATTTTTGGAATATTTTTCCTTATTCCGTTTTATTTCATCTGAATTGTATTATTTCTTATTACATTTGCTTGATCTTTGTCTTGTTAAATTTCATTTCATCAAGCAATGTTTAATTAGTTAATGTTTATGAATTTTTTTTTTTTTGGCTTCAATGTGTGGTACATTACCAACTTTATCCACGTAAATACTATGCAAATTAATTATTAATTTTATTTTTATCAATATTTAAAAGTCCTTCGATATATAAAAATAAATATTTCGATATATATAAAAGCTTAATCCATTTCTTGTTTTTGTAATCATGCTGCAATTCGGAGAACTCTCAGCCAATCAGATTAAAGAAATTTTTGTCCATAAATGCCAATGCTACTATTGCAGAAACCTTTTTTTTTTTCCTTCCATTCACTTCTCGCTATGTTTCAAAAGACACAAAATATTTGGGTGCATCTCGCACCAAAAAGTATGTGTGATATAGAATGTATAAAAAAGAATTAAGTGTCAAGAAATGAATTGCCTTGTTAGTTACGCCAAGACTTCTCATTTTTCTTCTATATATATATACATCTCAGGTAACTAAGCAGTAAAGCCTCTCCAAGTTATTACAATGCAAAGAACTATCCCCAAGCCATTGCAGCTGTTCTCCAAATTCTTCCATTACGTATATATAATTCCTCTTTAACTAAAAGCGATTTGAAAGAGCTATAAATGAAGATTCCTTTCCATTATCATTAATCACTAAGCAGGATTAATGAAATGATATCAGCTGGGTTCATATTAAAATCATTATTTATATATATAAGTGTGTATTTTTCGTTTTTATAGTAACTATCTTAAGGCGGCTGGTCACACAAAATTACTTTCACAAATTCGCAATTTTGTGTTCGATGCATACCATATTTCTTCGCATATTCTGCCCCCCCTTTCCTTACTAATTTTATTGGCTGAAAACTGAAAAATCAGGCAAATAATTTAATTTCCGGAGAATGCGGTAACAGTAAGAACGTAACAAACGAAAAGTAGTCATGGATAAAAACTATACGAGTGACTACCACAATATTATTTCTTCAAAGAAAACCTACATTCCAATGAGAATGCTTGGTGATATTGACATTGGAATATTTAAAAACGATATCATTATTTCTACTTCCCTGCAACTTGAATCTTACGTCTTCTTAGTGTTGCCTCTGTTACTCCTTATGCCTTAGATCATATGTAAGTAATTATAGAAAGTGAATGTGAATTATGGTAGACTTAATATCAGTTCTATATTTGCTTCATTGTGATTCTTCTGTTCTCATATAAGGCTGGCATAAAATTCATCAGTTAGAAGGGAAAGCCTCGGCGTGACTCTTGCTGGTCGTTTGTGAGGGTTCGTCGTCGTTACTCAGATGAAAACAATCATTCCATGAAAAAATCCATTTTAAAATTTAGGGGAGCGTTTTGAACTGGAGAAAGGCATTGAATGCATTGAAGAAGGGGGAAATGACTCGATTTTTTTTTTAAATTTCAGAATCTGGCTTAAAAAGCTAGAGAGAAAATGCGGTAATATATTTCACATACATTCTTCCTCCGTCATTAGAGTTTGAAGAATGGGAGAACCTTTTCATCTTACGAAAAGACGCAAGAATTTAAGAAAGAAATTTATGCATTGGAAATGGGTACTCTATCTTTGTACTAATGGTATTGCATCTTATTTTAGGGGCCATTTGTAGCAGCGTTTGCACAAGCTAATGAGGGTGATGTCTCGCCCAACACCAGGGGCCCGAAATGCATTGACACAGGTTTGCCATGCGATGCAGAGACAAGTACTTGTGATGGACAGGTAATTTGCTCATTAACTTAATATATACAGTATGTCTACAAAAGTCCTTACTAGAGCATCATTTTCACAATCATCGGTCGTAGACATTGACTTCCAACTACTCCCATTCAACAAAAGTCGACTGAGATGTTTAATTTAAAAATTTGCGTTATTTGATGTTGTATTCAATTTGCATAGAGAATAATTAATAAATAATCTTTCATTTAATAAATAAATAAGAATAATTCAAGGTTACTTTTTCTTTTTCTCTTGAAATACGATTTCATGATATTATTTTATGATTCACTCGAGTCTTTAGTTTACAGTTTGCTTATATTTGGTATGCTGAAGGAATTTTCACACAAGTGATTTAACTTCCCTAACTCTAAAATTACATTATTAACAGTCTCATGGCGTTTGATTACTTTAGAATCATAATCTAGTACTCGTACAAAAAATTCCCTAAACTCAAATATTTTTAATTTTTAATGATTGAGTATAATATCTGGTTTCAACGGAAGTTTTCCGCCATCAAAACATTCTTAATAAAGTTACCAAAAAAATGAAAGCAGTAAATTTAGTGCGGGTAGTAATCATCCCCCAAATCTATGATTTCCTGCCAACGTTTTGGTAGTTTTTCAAAGCCTTCGGCCCAGAAACTTGGTGGCCGCGAATCCAAAAAACAGATCAATCTCATTAAGGACATCCTAAGCAGAATGGAAGACAACATCAGCAAAGATGTAGCTGAAGTTGTGAAAAAATGGTAGAAGTCGGAAGGAACGACGACGGGTTTATATGGTGGGTGTGGCAAAAGATCCAATTCGAGTGCGTACAGAGCCCATTCGGTAAATGCAAACACATGTGGTCTTGCATTATCTTGATTTAACATTACCCTTTTAAACCGTAACCCAATTCGAAGTTTTTCCTAGTTAGCAGTGTCATCACGGACTAGCATCTCGCTGTACAACTGACTGTCGTGGGTTTCACCTTTTTTCAGGTACTCCTTGTGGATAATACCATGACAATCCCATCAGATACAAAGCATAATCTTTTTGTTAGTCAAATTGCGCTTTGCGACGCTGCCGACGGGCTCACCAGGCGCAGGCCACATCCCCCCCTTTAAGAACTGTATTGAAGTAAATCCACTTTTTATCACAATCCGGCTCAGAATTTTGACCTTGCGTCGATATTCGAGCAGATTAGTGCATTCCAGAACACGTCTGTCCTTATCTGTTAGTCAGCTCATGCGTCACCCAGCGATTGAACTTGTACGTCAAGTTCATGCAATGCATACCACCACGAATGGACATGGCACTAACGTCTAACTCTCTTAGCAAGCTCTGGAGTGGTTGCATACTGATCTTCTTCCACAAGTTCTCGCAGGCGGGCCTCATCAAAGTCTGTAGGCCGGCCAGAGCGCTCTGCCTCTTCAGTGTCCTTGTTTTTGAACTTTCGGTACTAAACCTTCATAGTATCATATGATACAACATTAGTACCTAAAGCTATACACATGTTTTGTTGACATTCTGTAGCTGATTTTTTGCAACAGAACTAGAAGTAAATGAAGGTTCTAATTTGGTAGCGTGATAGTCCCATTTCAGACACCCTTGTACTTAATGATAACGATATATTTTTACAAATTTCACAACACCGTGTTCTAAAGCAAGTCTCTTTCTTTCAAATGCCAAAAATCGGTTTGACAAAATATGATTAAACACACCAATGTGAACTGTTTGCGCAGATGATATTTGCGGTGGCGGAAAACTTTCGTTAAAATCAAATACTACATGTTTTCTGCTTGCCAATATTGAAACTTGCCAGTGTTTTCTGTTATATGAATTACATAAGATTCTATAAATAAGATGCTTATTTTGAAAAAAAAATTACATTAATTGACACTTTTCATGATGATCTACAAATGCTCGTCACTTAATCTTTTGCTAAACTGATATTTCATTTGTAGTTATGGACACATGCAAACATTTCGCTCTTCAATTTATTTATGACCCCTAAATATGATCCCCGACTTTAATATCAAATATCTCGGTCCATTTTTGTCGTAGGAGAGTCACTTATTTTTTATAATTTGAAAATTATTTATAAACTGCAGTGTCCTCTCGATTATCCGTTAGCAGATTATCTGTACACGGCAGTGCCCATGCACAGTCTTGTCTTCTCATAACTCTTGCTGAAGAAGATAATCATTTAATTAAGTTTCGTAAAAAGTTGACTTTATTGGAAGCCATATTCGGAGTAGAAAATCTTGTTCGAAATAAAAAACACAGTAATTCTGGTTCGATCGTGGAGATTCGTCCTAATATAGAAACAGGAAATTTAACCATTTATGAAGAAGTCAAGACAATAACTGGAGTTGTATGCCCCCCCCCAAAAAAAAACGGAAAATTTAAAATTCTTCCAAAATGTCGATCGATAAAATATCGAAGAATGGTGCAATGGCGATTGGACTAAACTGTTCTTTCAGTGGTCGAGCGATGCGGATGTTGTTTCAAATGCTGCAAGAAGAGAAGAGGCACAGAGTGATGCTGAAAATACACAGGGTTCGTAGCGGTCCTTATAAGTGCTTATAAGTCCTTATATTTGAAAATAAAATATAAAGGCCCTCATAGGTGCTTACTTTTTCTTTAAAGCCCTTATTTTTTTCTTTTTAATGCTTATTTTTTGCTTTTAGTGCTTTTTTTTAATGAATGCGCAATTTTTTCCCGTACCAAAGCCGAAACAAAATAAACAACTTTTCTTCCTAATATGGAATGTCGAGTCATACTCCCGAAAATAGCTTTTACCCCTTTCCTCTGCATTAACATAACCTTTGGTGTGCACGAAGAGTACAGACAGGTGCCCGTCGTTCTATTGGTCAAAGAATTGCAAAAGCAGTAGAAAATTCCGCTACACCTCGGCATTCTTTTCCTCCCTCCCAAATGCTACACACGTTTGAATTTCTATCAAGATCTTAAAATTTTGCATTCTCGTTCCGCTTGGTCAATTCATATTAGTGTTTATTATGATCATTATGCTTATATTATGAGCAAATATGTAATGATATAATTTATAATAATATAGTTGCAGTAACTGAAGTATAGATAAACTTCCAGAAATGGGTAAGTGTATTTTAACGGAGATTAGCTTTCTAAGGAATAATATTCGGAATGGCTTTAAAGGGAAAGTAATCAAATAATCAAAATAATTTAATTTTTTTGGCCAATGCATTATACAGTACAGAGGTTGGGAGGTTCTCCCCTTTTTCCGACAAAATCGTGCAAATATTGAAACTGTTGCAATTCGCTGCAAAACAAGCAACGATTTTTTGGGGGGGGTCACTTTCCAATCTGGATTAAATAGGATTAAACCCGTGAAGATTTGATAGGGAATTGAATAGGATTAAACCTGCGATCTACCAACCAAGTGAAGAATTGATTCTATTCCAGAAATTTAACTCAGTCTGTTTAAAATTAGAATGAAAAATCACCCCAGATTAGTTAAGTCTCTTTCTTATTCTTCCAATACCGGCAGTTTGTTTGATTCCGATTGCGTATATCACGTAGGGAGAATTACGGCTCACGTATTGCCAATAACGTTTGCGATATTTTGCAGAGCTAATTAATTTTGATGTTCGGTCCGAGATTTGTTTATGAACCCTTAAAAGAGTTTTACTGTGCTTGCTAAGCACAATATTTTTTAGTTCCGTTTTTACAATATTTTTATATGATGCACATATTGAAATGTCAAAAGCATTATTTATTTAGCGGAAAAATCTAGCGGAAATATATCTAGCGGAATATATTTAGAGGAATATATCTAGCGGAAATAAATATTTAGCGGAATATAAATATTTAGCGGAAAAATCTAAAGAGCGGCTACAGTCTACCCCCCCTCCGCTTCTTCAAGTTACGCTCGACTGTCCGAATATTCGCCAATTTCCAAGTATGCGGGTTAGTTAAGCTTTCACTGTTAAAGATGACTGCATGAAGCAAATTTCTGTCTTCCGATTTCAGAAATGTTCCTCTTTTTTACTTAAATTACTTTGCTTGCAATATCTGTTAAGGGAAAACTGATATACAATGAAAATTTAGAAAATGTTCAGAATTTAGATTTAAATTATTTAAATATCAATATGAGTGGAAAAATAATTGTATTAATTAGGTTCCAAGCGAATACAATAAATATGCCTTATTATTATTTATTTTCTCTATTTTGAACTGAATTTCATCATTAAATCTTGACTATAGTTTAATTCTGCTTAGTTTTTTTTTCCTCTCATTGGTAACTAGTTTGTAAATTGAACTATTATTGAAAATTAAAAACAAAAAAAAAAGTAATTATTTTCCATGGTTGAGGTAATGCTTATTCTCTCTTAATAAGTACTTCATTCCATATTTTTAAATTACAAGTATAATTTTTAGGTTATGCAGTTGTGTATGATGTAATTAGACAGGTGCTTATTTTTTTTCTTAAAACGTGCTTGAAAAGTGCTTATAGGTGCTTATTTTTTAACTAAAATGTAGCTATGAACCCTGATACAAGTGAAGAAGATACTGACAACTGCATTAGTCCCGAGACAGCGATGACTTCCTTCGAAAATCTGTTGTCTTCGTTGACCAAAAGTGATTCGAATACAATGATGAAACAGAGCTTCGAGGAATAGGCAGTGAAATTTGGCAAATACTTGAACGTTCTCAAAACCAGTAAAATTGCTGATTTTTTAAAGCATTAAACATGTACAATATGCATGAAAAATGATAGTTTAGATTATCTATGTTTTTCAATTATCCATAAGCTGCTACCGCAGATAACCGAGAGTACACTGCAAGTGATTTTATATTTTATAGACCTCTATGGAAACTTTTTTCTTAATTTAACGAATGCATTGTTAAAAAGATATCGCCGTCAAATGGATACGCTTTTACCTGAAAGTTCTCTTACAGAATTTAAAATGCATTGCTTCTGGTCCTGGGAAAGATATGTTTGACAGTACGAGAATCATTGGAAAGAAGCAGTACGAAAAAGCTGTGGTATGTCGATTTTACAAGCATTTATTATCTGTACATTTGCGAAGCATATGTGTAGCATCTATTTCTAATATTCTAAAATATTTTTTCTTATAGGAACTCTTTGATGCTGCAGATAAACCTGTTACGGGGCCCGTTTCATTTGCACACCAGTTCGTTGACATGTCCAGAGCAACAGTGAGGGTCAATGAAAGTACCAATGTAAGCGTATTGTCCAGCCATTTATAAACATTTGTTAAATGCTTACAATTAATACATTTTTTTTTGTTTTGAAGTATGCGAATGGTTACTTAGATTCGTTCATGATTTCTTAAATGAATTGCCTGATGGTATCAGACTTCTCACTTGAAGCTTTAGCAAGTAGTTTAGAGCAGAGATTCCAAAATGTTTCTTGCTTTAACATCCTTTAAATAAATAGTTTTTGGTACTTGCATGTTAATGCAGCCACTTCGGCGCAAAAGGGTGACTTTTTATAGACGAAAAGGTAAAAGCTACTTACCAGATGCAATTTGGCTATTCCTGAGAATTTTTATAAAATGATTACCAAACTGTCAATACTTTTCGTAAACGAACAAACATTATCAACATATCAAAAGAAAACACACTTTAGCAATTTGACACACACATTTCAGTTATAAATAAGGATGATAACGTACATGGTGCGAAATCTTTCTGTAATTTTTTTGCACTGTTTTTCTCGCCATGTATACGTTGATCTGTATTCATTAAAACAAAATATCGGAAAATTATACAGTTTTTTTCGTCGTGCACAACCTCAGGATTGTGCACCAGTTTTCTACTTGTCGCATCTCATCGTTATTCCATTATTGATTTTTCCCCAAAATATCATATTCCTCTAGAAGTATTTACTTTGTGGCAAAATAGTATACTCATGTAGAAATATTACCTTAGTTTCTTCGCCTTACTGGCAAATTCCACAAGCAAGTATTTTAAAATTGAGTCTAAGGCAAGGAATATCACGATTTATCCATAAAAGCCATTGGAATTTGGAATAGTATAAAAAGAACGCATAAGAAAATGGCGATGTTACATGACTGAAGGGATTGTTTTAAGTATGGCTCCTTAAAGAATCGTTATGCCCATGGTTGGCAGATTTGGCTCAGTTTGGAAATTTCGCGACTTCTGCTAAGGTGGTTGCGATAATACGCAAATAGTACGTGGTTTTTTTTTTTTTTTTTTTTTTTTTTTTTTTTTTTTTGACTCCCTTACATTTTTTTCCGTGATATACAGCAATGGTCTTAAACTAAAATTACATACAGGCCATATAGGCATAAACTAAAATTACATACACGATATAAAAATAGCTGATGAGGCCGATCTTTTCTGGGGGTACAAAATCAAAACATTTTATTAAAAAAACATACGTTTTAAATAATTTTTTGATTTCATTTTCTAACTATTCATACATAAAAATAACAATAAAATCGAAAACAAATATCCAATTTATATTTATTTTGTATCTGAAATCTAAAGTTTGGCACCTGTAAGATATTTTCATTGGTTAATTCAAATACATGGGCGTTAAATATTGAATTCTTAGACTGGCATTTCTTTCAAAAACATTTTAACAGGTTAGTTAGTTATTAAATAACTTACTTTAGTTTAAACTAAAAATAAGCAAATTATGAAGATTTTGTAAGTTTTCTGTGAGAATTTATGAAATGGGGGGGGGGGAACCTGAGAGTAAATAATAATAACTTAATCTCTTTGCCTTATTTATTAAATTTTCAGTTGCTGTGTAAGTAAAAATACGTATGTTTGTACATAAATAATAACAAATTTCTTCATTTCTTAATAGAGCTGGACACTCAGTGGCGTTTCGATCGATAATGTTTGTAGCTTTGGAGAAAAATTGCTATAAATTATGTTCATCATGCATTGTAGATGCTCGTCGGTTCATCGGATTCTTTTCTAATTAATTTTCAACTGTGAAAAAAAGCCGTTTTCACATAAATGTATTTCTAAACAAAATGATTATTTTCAGTGCAAAAATTCGTTACTGAGCTTACTCTTTGATAAATGCGAATGAAAGTTAATTAAATCTGTGTCTTCATATTTGCCTAAAATTTATATCACATATTAAATAAATTAGCTCCATTCATAAATTTTCTGATGCGTTATTCATATCCGTTTTAAATAGCAATAAAAATAATGTAATCTTATATTTGAAGTAACAAGTCTTAAATCTTTGTAACACCGTATTTCCAGCAGATACATAATTGATATATCTTCGCAGGTTGCATAAAATGTCTTGGAGGCCGCATGGGGCCCGTCAATTTGGGACCACTGATATACAGCATACAACATAATCGTAATACAAATAACTCCACATAAATTAGTTAGATATCACTTACACTAAGAACAGAAACAAAAATTTCGAAAAAATGGTTATTACATTTATTTTTGTATTATGTTTTTTAATTTAACACATATAAACAAGTTTTCCGAAATGAAATCACAGATTCCAATAGCAATTTTTATTTTAATAAATTTGATGGTTGCACTAAATGTATCGATGCAGTTTTTTTAATTTCTGGCTTAAAATGCTTAATTCTTAAATCTCTTCATTCAAAAATATTCAACCTGTTTCTTGTTTTCATTTTTAATTCTTCGTATTTTTTATTGTATTTTCTAATGTTCCTGATTCTAACTTTTTATATTGCATGAAAAATTTATGAATTTTTAAAAAATATTATTGATTTAAAAATATATTAAATTAGTGTTTTTCTTCTATTTATGACTTCTTCCTTGATAGCTTAATATCAATAAACAATTATCAATTTTATTCATAGTTTTTTTTTTTGTCCTCTCCAGTGGGATCTATAATGCGCCGACTCATTTGTTACCTGTGCATATTCGGCTATCGTCTAGTCAATCCTTTGATTATCATTTTGACTTGTTTTAAAATTTTCCCAAGCGGCCAATCCTCACCCCGTGAAAACTGAGAAATTTCCACAGTCACCGTTAATTGTGACCGGATATCGATGTTTTAAAAAGATAAAATACTAATCATAACTGTAGAATTCAAAAAGCAGAAAACGATAAACAGTTAAGAAAAAAAATTATTTAACGATAATCTGAAAATGTAGAAAGGTAAACTACTTTGGTTGTTGTCAATAAGGAAAAATCACAAAAATGACGATTACTAAAAAAAAAAATACGTACAGAATTTAATGAAACTAAACCGTAGTATTCAACACATAGTAAGAAGAATGAATATGAAAAGAATTTACCAGACAATTATGGTATTATAGAAATTAGCATAAGTATAAAATGAACAAATCGGATGTGTCAGTTTGGTATAGGAATATTACCTTCAATATGAAGTTTGATCTCCCCTAGAAGTAACATAGCACATACAGCAATATGTGATGAGTAAATTATACTGTCTACCAGTTCCGTAGGAAGTGATGGCCATGGCTGTTGGGAAGCATTTGCAAGCGTCGCAAAGGTCTGAAGAGAAGAATTAGGAGTAGCTATACGTTTTTCTAAAGCATCTCAAACATGATGGATATGATTCAGGTCCAGTGATCGAGCTGGTCACTCCATGCGCTGAATTGTTTGCTGCTAAAGGTAATCATCCAGGATGCAAGCCGTGTTCGGTCTAGCGTTGTCGTCCTGTAGCAGGAAGTCATTACCTAAGGGAGCACATAAGTGTCAAGGATGTTATTTCTATAGTCCTGCACGGTCCACGTTGAAAGACATGGAGGCTTGTGCGTCTACCCAAAGAACTACCACCCCAAACACCTCCTTCTTATACATCTGTTTCACGAATGTTTGATGGATGATAACGGATTCCATCCGGATTCTATATCCTCTCCAAATCAAATAACGCCTACTAACGCTTTGGAGACTAAACCTGGACTCATCCATACAGAAAACAACCTTTTATTGATCAGCCATCTAGTGGATATATGGACGTGCCCACCTCAAACGTTCTCTTCTATAACATGACGTGAGCGGCACGCAAACAGCTGGTCGCCTGGCTTAAGCCTCCTTCGTGAAGCCTTCTACGCATAGTTGACGTTGACACCACCCTTCTAGTGGCTGCAGCAAGGGAGAATCTGAGTCGGAGACGCGGTTTTGTTCCTTCGTGGGCATAACAAATATCGGCCATTGGCGCTTGTCGTAGTGGTTGGCCGGGCTGAACCTCTTGGATGCCGACTGCTCTGGGGTTAGAAATGGTTTGCAAAGTCTATGAACCACAGAAGGACTCTCATTTAGCCATCTGGCTATTTCTGTCTGACCTCTAGTCTCCCTTGCCTCTAGTCTCCCAATAGTGCTCCATCTCAATTCTTCGGGCAAATGATGCCTGGAGATCATTGTTACGAATTGGCTATTCCAGATTTCTTATCTCAGTATCAAAGCGAAATTTACAGGTTTTCTCTCAAACATACAATTTTATGCTGCTCGCAGATGACGCATCCCGATTGCAGCGCAACTAATTTGGATACTACAGTCTTACTCAGCAACTCCTACTTGACAACACATTAAAATTTTCTACATATTATTTTTGAACGAGTTTTCGTTTTTCGAAACCAGTGTAATTGTAACTGTATTAATCTCAACGTCTTAACCCCGTCGTTGCTCGCTCATTAGAAATTTATAACGGTTAGATCTGGTTCTTTACCTCATTACATAACAGCCTGGAAGTTTTATGTTCCGCCATAATTCCTTCAAAAAGTATTCAAATATTTACTATATTATTTATGCACATCTTATAGTTATATTTCGATAAAGAATTTGTTAGATACCATTTAAGAATTTTATGATTAAGATTAAATTTGAAATTAAACACTTTAATCTGTCTTCAAGGTTTTAATGGTAGAATACGTTTACAACCAAAGTTGTTTAGACAATTTTAGAACAATTTCGATAAAGAATTTCAAAAAGTATGATGTGGACACCTCCTGACTTCCTTGCCTTGTACTGTCTATTACATTATGCACATATTTTTCTACACTTAAACTTATTTCCTCGAATTATTATAACCTAATTAGCCGATCCCTTGCGGAAAATTGAAAATGACATCAAAAACTGTGAATTTTGAAATAAAGCATCTCGGTCCATATTTTTCGTACAGAAGTCAAACTTCTTGTATTTTTATTTTTTTATGATGAGTAAAAAAACATTCCTAATATAAGTATAGAAACTGGGAGACCGCATTCAAAGCCGAGTTTCGTTATTTCTTCAAAATTAATTTTGTTTTAAATTTGACGTTGCGAAAACATGAATATTTTTG